GAAATAATTTCATGGTAATTCATTTTGTCCAAAAGTTTGATCCAAGATAATTGGTAGTATGATAAAGAAAATTTTCCGAATGAAAATGTAGTAGCATCTTGCGTCAAGAGTGAAATTGATCTCGGGGCAAAATGTACTCTGAAATAAGAAAAATATATTTTTAAGTAGTGTAAGCACAACGTGTCCCCGCGCACCGTCTGCCGTGTCCGCCCACCGCAGCCCGGTGGGATGGGGCGTGCTGGGGCGGGGCTGCCTGCGTTGAGTTGTGTAAGCACACTGTGGCTGGGCACACCGCCTGCCGTGTCCGCCCACCGCCGCGCGGGGCAGGGTGGGACTCTGTCCCCTCCCCTCATCCACATTCAGTAGTCCTTGGCCACAGGAGACGACTGCGCGGGGCAGTCCGGAGAGGAGAGAGCCGGGCGTCGAAAAGACTGAGGAGGGGCGAACAGTCTCGCGGTTGTTTTTGGTGCCCTTTTTAAACAATTTTAAACAACAAAATGTCTCTAACGTAGCAAGCAAAAACAAATGGGTCATCAGAGCGGCAAACCTTGTTAGAGCGCCAAAATGTGCCTGAAAAATTAATAAAAAGCCGACAGGGTGCGATATAGCTCCAGAGTAGCGCAGCGCCCCATCAGGACAAATATTTGTGCGCAATAGATGCACTCGAGTGTCGAGGTCCCCCTTCAATTGGGACACTTTCGGGGGGGGGGGGGGGGATCCCACACCCTCCTGAAGAGAGCGTCAGGAGGAGAAAACTCCAGCATGGCCTTGGGAGACTGAAGACTGGAGTCACACTTTGGGTGCAAAGCAGCGAGTGGGTCCCGGGGGTGCTGCCCTCACTCCGTCACCCCCTCTCCGAGCTCGGGAGGGGGGCGTGTCAGCTCTACGCTTTTACGTCGTTCCCTCGTTTTTACGCCTACGATTTACTCTAACTGGATATTTTCGTGGTCTGTGACGCGGCTAGGCATGGCACCGGGTCACCGCGGGTGATGGGATGGGAGAGCATAACCGCCAGCGGCCCACTCATTCTATATAGAATCACGGATGGAGGGACTTTCTCTATGATAAAAAAGAAAGTGTCTTTTTGCAACGGATTCCAATTCCGTCACGATTCTGTTAAAACAGTGCGCA